CAGCTCATTAATATTACTCTAAAAACATATTAGAAATACATTTGATTTACATATGGATCCACCAAGAAAAGAAATATACGCCACTTGACTAAAAAAGACACTACCTTTTAAATTCATGCCTCACTGCTTAAAGAAATCTTAGAGATCAAGTCATCTGAAAATTTATTTACAAGAGTAAAAATTAGAAGTAAACATCTCAGAGACTATCTTCTGAATTATTGACCAATTAACGAAATGTTCTTTCTTAAACTCATTCACAGGAATCTTTAAAAAATTATGAATTCTCTTAAATAAGGAATTTTCACAAAACCTTGAAAACTGTTTTATAGCTGATAACTTTGTTATACAAGTTTTGATACTGAGTACATTCTCAGAGGTCGGCCAACTGAAGACATCTGCACATTCATTTAAGATTACTCACTACGGTATGCAACAGCATGTCTGTGCATACAACCAAGATGACTAAAGGCATTCCTACAGACAACATGACACTGGTTCTCTGCTCTATGTATTGCCATGTTAAGAATACTTTTTCATGTTCTACACTGAGGAATTCCTTCTAGTGTGAGTCTTCTCATGTATTTTAAGGGAACTGGAACGAGTAAAGGCTTTCCCACATTGCTTGCAAATATAAGGCTTCTCACCAGTGTGAATTTGTTCATGTCTCTGACAACCACTTAAGGAAGAGAAACCTTTTCCACAATGCTTACACACATAGGGTTTCTCTCCACTGTGAATCCTTTCATGTCGTCGGAGCGAACTTTGATCAGTAAAGGCTTTACCACATAGTTTACATACACAGAGTTTCTCTCCAGAATGAGTTGATTCATGCTTTCGGAAGTTACTGCAAGAAATAAAACCTTTGCCACATTGCTTACAAACATACGGTTTCTCCCCACAGTGAATCCTTTCATGGCATCGAAGGGAGGTGTGGCGAGTGAAGGCCTTCCCACACTGCTGACACACATAGGGTTTCTCCCCACTGTGAATCCTTTCATGGTATCGAAGGGAACTGTCAACACTAAAGACTTTCCCACATTGCCTACATTTATAGGGTTTCTCTCCAGTGTGAGTTCTTTCATGTATTCGAAGGGTACTGGAAGAATTGAAACCTTTTCCACACTGCAAACATACATGGGGTTTCTCTCCACTGTGAATCCTCTCATGATAGCGAAGAGAACTGAGAGTAGTAAAGGCTTTATCACACAGCTTACATACATAGGGCTTTTCTCCAGTGTGACATCGTTTATGTGTCTGAATGGAATTGTAATAACTGAAGGCTTTCCCACACTGCTTACAGACATAGGGTTTCTCTCCAGTGTGGCATCGTTTATGTGTTTGAAAGGAATAGTAGTAAGTGAAAGCCTTCCCACATTGTGTACACACATAAGGTTTCTCTCCAGTGTGAGTTCTTTCATGGTCTTGAAAGTTGGTCAAATAACTGAAAGCCTTACCACATATATTACATCTGTATGGTTTCTCTCCAGTATGAGTACGTTCATGTCTTCGAATGTTACTCAGAAAAGAAAAGGATTTCCCACATTGTGTACATAAATAGGGTTTCTCTCCAGTGTGAGTTCTTTCATGTTCTTGAAAGTTAGTCAAACAAGTGAAAGTTTTGTCACATATATTACATTTGTAGGGTTTCTCTCCAGTGTGAGTTCGTTCATGTCTTCTAATGTTACTCAAAAAGGAAAAGGTTTTCCCACATTGTTTACATACATAGGGTTTCTTTCCAGTGTGGATCTTTTCAACATACTGAAGAAAATCAGTATAAGTAAAGGCATCATAATGCTGCTTATCCATACATATTTCTTCTCTAGTTTCCTTATTCACACGTATTTGAATGTAATCATTACTTTTGAAGATTTTGTCACACTGGTTAAATTCACTGAATTTCTGTTCAGTGTCAGTGTCTTCACGCTTCAGAAAGCATTCTGGATAAATGAAGGCTTTCTCACATTCCCCAACCTTACAGAGGCTCGCTCCACATAGCTCATATTGATGAGGTTTTTGTATAGTCTGGAGAGGCACAGACACATTAATAGATGAATGACCGATGAACATGTTGTCTTCATACACATGGCTTTCACAAATCATTGTTCTATGAGACACTTTCCTGTTCACAATGGTGTTTGGAATCTGTCTGAAGATTTCTTTACATTCACTACTTTTGTTACGTTCCAATAGTCTTTCTACAACTTCATTTCTATAAAAAAAAAAAGTTCACCAGTAAAGTTATAAATTTCCCCACCAGCATAATTCCTGAGAATTTCTGAATATGATTGAAGGTTCTACAGGATGTGGGGACAGGTAATATTAAGACACTGTATTCACATAGGGTTTCTTTTTGTGTTAACATTTATTTATTTACTATTTGTGTGTGCACATGCTATGGTGTACATATAGAAGTTAGAGGACAGCTTGGAGATGATTCTCTTTTACTATATGGTTTTCAGAGACTGAACTTAAGTCATCAAGCTTGATAGTGAATACCTTTATCCGATGAGTCATTTTCCTAGTCCCATCATATGGGACTTTTAATACTTCCCACAGGCTAATTATTTTGTAAAAGATGAATGTCTAGATCTTAGTTAGTTTTGAGGTCAATCTCTTACTATGATGCATGGGCATCCTTCAGTCCCCTAAGAGCTGGGAATGAAGGCATGAGTGATCATATTTACTTCTATATCACAGGTAAATGTACTTAATTATTCCTTATGCAAAATGCTTAAGCAAAAACTATTTCTTTCTTTCTTTCTTTTTTTTTTTTTTTGGTTTTTCGAGACAGGGTTTCTCTGTAGTTTTGGAGGCTGTCCTGGAACTCGTTCTGGAGACCAGGCTGGCCTAGAACTCACAGAGATCCACCTGCCTCTGCCTCCCAAGTGCTGGGATTAAAGGCGTGCACCACCAACACCTGGCTGGATAGTTGTCTTGATTTTAAAAAACAACTGACCATTCCCAGATTATGGGTTGGCAAAGTTACCTTTGATTTCTTCTAGAATATCTGTGGTCATTGTCTATGTGCTGGTCATCTTGTGTTCTTCCTAGAACATAGACCCAGAGAAATCTGATTTACTTACATAGTTATTACAGAAATACCAGATTCTATGTAGATTCATGGTATAACATGACATGCCTGATATAGTCACCAAATTTACCCTTTTCATATTCCAAATCATGGAGCAAGATTTTTGAGCAAGACAGACTTATAATCTGATTGACTAAGTAAAAACATGGTCTCATTCATACCTATGGCAGCCAGGTTCCTGAAGGTTTCCTCCATCACATCTCTGTGCAGCTTCTTTTGGGAAGGATCTAGTAAAGCCCATTCCTCCACAGTGAAGCTTATAGCCACATCTTCAAAGGTCACAGAGTCCTAAATGGCCAAGATGTTTTGAGAAGAAAAGATAAGACACACACTACTGAAAATCTTCGAGTGTCCTCTAAATGTCCAATATATATCCTGATCATCACATTCTCATTTTACATCCATACTGTGCTCTCTCTCTCTTTTTCTTATTAATACAGTATTTTGTCTTCTCTCAGTTAAACCCTGAGTCAAGCACTTTCCTCAGACTTCCTGGGGAGATACAGGAAAAGGAACATACAGGGCAGACAGGATACGAAAGAACCACGGGAGGTGGAAGTGGAGACAGCTGCTTCACATCATGAAGAGGATGAGAAAGGCCACCATTAGACAAAAGAGCCCCATGGCCTCTGAGAGGGCAAAGCCTAGACTCATGTAGGAGAAGAGCTGTTGCTTCAGAGAAGGGTTCCTGGCATAACCAATGATGAGGCTCCCCAAAACAGTCCCAATCCCAGCCCCAGAGCCAGCCACCCTAACTGTAGCAGCCCCAGCCCCACTGAACTTGGTGGCTGTGTCGATGTCCCTGGAAATGATGCTGGTTTGAAAGCTGCAGCTAGGGATGTGTGAGGTCAGAGGACAAGGGGCCACCAAGCTGCTGAGGCCCTCATCTGTCCATATCTGTGGTCAATTTACTCTACCGCAGACAGGGGACGACTCAGCAGCTGAGAGGTGCTCCTGATTAAGGAGTGGGTGAACTTGGAGCAGGCATACATTATCAGGGGTGAGGGGTCAAGGCAGGAGAGCTGCTCCCAGGGTAGAGAAGACTATAACTGTGCTCTCTAACACAAGAATTCCCACGTTAGCTTTGAACAGCAATAATGAAATACCAAGTATGCTGGTGGAACTTATAATTACTACTGGTGTATAGGCCTTTATCATTTCCCCCATAATACTACTACTAGTGCACATTTGTGTTAACAACCAGCTGCCTTAAAATCACATATTTTAAGAATAGATTATGAGGGTGAGTGTCTTCATCCAGTACTAGTTCCTATGAGCATAATTAATGCCCTGCCTCATCGTAGACCCAAAGCAATGAACCTAAGTGACAAGATTGAATTATAGGAACCTTGCCATAAAAATAAACCTTTCAACAAGTATGTTACTTTTCTCATTACTGTGACTAAATAGCAATTCATGAAAGACTGACTTTTAATCATGTCTTGAGAGGGGAAGTCTGCTGTGGGAGGGGGGCAGACATGGCAGAATTCATGGGGATGGGATCATGCAGCAGGGACTCCACATCAGTGATGACCAGGAAACAGAACAGGGAATGCTGGTTTCTACTTGGATTCTTCCTTTTTCCTTGTGTATTCAGTTTGGCACCTCAGCCCATGGTTATATGTAATGGTTAGTGATGAAAAACTAGGCAGATGGGCATCTGGGTACACCCGTAGGGATTTATCTTGATTATGCTAACTGATGTTAAGATAATCCAATTAATTGTAGGTGAGACTATCCCCTGGCCATAGGATTCTGGACTGTATAAAATGAAGAAAGTGAGCTGAACACTAGCATGCATTCATTACTTTCTTTTTCTGACTTCAGATGTAATATGACCAGCTGCTTCAAGCTCCTGCTCCTTTGACTTCCCCATCTTGAACTGTGAGTTAAACCCTTCCTTTCTTAAATTGCATTCTTCAGGGTACTTTACCATAACACCACAAAAAGAAAATAAGACAGGTACACAGATTCAGAGTGGGTATTCCCTTCTCAGTTACCTGTCTGCAAACACTCTCACATACCCAGTGTGTGTCTAATAGGTGATTCCAAATTATCTCAACTTAACAAGAAGACTATAACAAAAACCTTCAGTTGCTTTTCTTAGGTATATTAGATAGGAATGCAATGCTAATTAATATACCATTTTACAAGATAACATTAACAGAGTGGATTAAGAATAGATTATTGGTGCCTAGCCCAATCATCATCAGGCTTTCTCTGGCAGCTGACAGGAATAGATGTAGAGAACTACAGCCAAACATTAGGTGGGAATTGGGTAACCCCATGGAAAAGGGGGAAGAAAGACTGTAGGAACCAGAGGGGTCAATGATACCAGAACAACATGACCCATAGAATCAACTAAGCAGATCTCAAAGGGGCTCACAGAGACTTAAGTGGCAATCACAGGGCATGCACAGATCTGTGCTAGGTCCTCTGCATATATGTTATGGTTTGTTAGCTTGGTGTTTTGTGGGACTCATAACAGTGGGAACAGGTGATTCTCTGACTCTTTTGCTTGCTCTTGGGACTCCTTTTCTCCTACTGGGTTGCCTCATCCAGTCTTGATATGAGGGTTTGTGCCTAGTATTATTGCATCTTGTTATGTTGTGTTTGGCTGATATCCCTGGG